CAGTTTTATTCGGCACAAAAAACACGACGTTTAAGGTGGCTCCATACGGTAATCATTTATGGCGTCCCCGCGCAAGTGTTATGCTTTGAATNAAAAGTTTCTCTTATAGCGGTGCCGCGTTGTGGAATGGCCCTCTAAGTGATATTAGAGTATCTAAAGCATTAGGTGAATTTAAGACGAAGCCAAGTAACTTCAGTTTTGAGTTTTGAGTGAATTAATGACACGGCGTCCTTGAAAAGCAGTACTTTTGTTTTCATTTATTTCTATTGAAATAGGTAGTTAGCTTAGTTTGTGTAGATTAGGCTTTTATTCTTTATAATCACTTTTATAATGATTATTGTTTAATTTTTACATTTGTAGATATTTTTCCTTGTATTCAACTGAGTGGAAGTTACCGTGTATAAATAAAGTGCTCTATTTATCTTTATTATTGGAGCCACCATAGCCTGCGTAGCAAGCGTTCCTGTACGAAGAGCTTTTCCGCATTCTGGCCGCGCGTAAATTGGAGCGAGAGCAAAAAATCGACAAAGCAGGGGGTGGCGAGGCGAGGGAGGGAACGCTTGCCGGCAAACCCCTCCATTTGGAAAAACCCGTTCGCCCACGAACGGGGCTTCTGATTGGTGCGGCGTGGCCATCTTGATTGACAAGTGTATCAAATTCGTTCGACTGATTCCAGGAATAACTCGAGTAACAATAACAATAACAATAACATTTATTATTTGTATTGCGCCTTTTCTATAAAATATTCAAAAGCGCATCACAACAGTAATTAATAACTAAAATTTTACAAATCTTTCTATCAAAATCATAAAAAATATTTACATTAAATGGGTAAAAGATAATATGCTAAGATAACTGAAATGATTCCTTAAATAAAAATGTCTTATGAAAGTCTTAAAAGATTCTAAGTTCGTTGCTTCGCGCGCGGACCTTGGCAGCTTATTCCATAGGAAAAGAGCAGCTACCTGGAAAGCTCTGTCTCCCAATGTTTTCTTGGCTTTCACACTTGGTCTTTCCAACAAACGACCATTGTCGTTGCGCCTCAAATGGTAGGACGAAGATTGTTGTGACTTGCTTGCACAAAGCCGTGGGGGAAGGTTCGTGAAATTGTCCTAGCCCCAGCGACGATTGCTACGCAGGCTAGTATTCACGAAATTATTCACGTCTATTAAGGCATAAGTTTCTAAATTAAAGAAACTGTTGGGCTGCCTCGCTGCGGGGCCGATGAAAAACTTGGCTTTTATAAGGTAACATAACGGTCGAAACGAAGTGAAGCTGAGCTTTCGAGCGTTAGTCCCCGGCTAGTGAGAACTTTCCTAGTCAGTAGGCCTCGATAGTTCGCCCCGGTCAATGGCTTTCGGGTCACGTGGTCCGAGGCGAAACGCATGCTCCCGGTCTTACTACCGGCCTTTAGTCTGGGATTCGCGGATTGACCGCGAAGGACTGGGAAAAAGCTGTACAGGAACTCGGCAAGACTTTTTTAATTTTTTTTTTTAGACGAAGGGCTCACTATGCTCTGGTAACGTCAGCTTCACAAACACGCTACCCGCGGCCATTAATTTCCTTTTACTGATTTCAAGTAGATAAATAGCTCAAAGTTTGTTTCGGCCTAGCTAGCGGTAACGAGGTAAGCAAGTAAGAACTTAATTTAAGTGTCACTGTATTTAGCCCATGTGGGCTAACATGGGATGCCGTATTTACTCTACCTAAAAATTTTCATTAACAATATTACAGGATTCTCTTAGAAATTAAAATTGAAATATTGGCAAACAATGAAAGGAAGTAAAAGAGTATATGTTGTCCTAAGAACGAGCAACACTTTTACTGACAACAAAACGTAAAAAGTTGTAAACAGTCAACTGAACACAGGTAAATACGACGGAAAAGGAAACACATCTATATTTGCTTCGTGTTTCCCAAATCAAACTCGATGACTTGGGAAATTCAGTGTTAGTCGCATGACTGTTTAGTACATCACATTGTACCTGTACATGACAGAAGGCCTTTTGAAAGATGGTGGTCTAGACAGTTTAAATCGTATTTTGATGTTCGTTAACAGTCCTTCTAAATCATCGCAAATCTTTGCTATTTTTGTTCTCAGTTTGGTTGGATATTTCTTCATTGGAATTTTAACTATGTTACTAACTACTACTACGTTTTAACGTCTTCCTCAACTTGAAGACCTTAAAAGTGATTCTAGCTATACATTGAGATTTCTTGGAACGAAAATTTCGCCCTCTTTAACACCAAACCATCACAGCATCTCCCTGCCGTATGACCCCCACCCCATCCCCGTCAGGAGCTGCGTTGATCCCAAAGAGAGGAGATCTGTCATATCTTGGATCCCTGTCCTCAGGAAGCCTTATTCTGAAATAAATTAAGACGCAAGGCACACAATTAACATAATTATACAAGTCAAACTTGCGTGTAGTTAGTGTAATATAGGGACAAGCAGGGCTGTAAATTGAAAATGTGTAATTATGATGGATGACATTAATTTTACGCGCTACCTCTCGTATTTTATAGGATGAGTCTTGGCAGTTGTATGACATATAGTACGTTCATTATTTGAGAACATTAAGGATTGCAATGTTGGATGTTACAAGCTTGTTTATAGTAATATACCTTCGTAACGTAGCCAAAGGTTCGTCTCCTTTCTTTTCTCCAGTTTTTGGATTGACAATTGGCAGGCTACACCTTTGAAATTGACAAAAACACCCGCTTAATTAATGACAAAAGTTAACTTAAAATGATTTCCAGATTTAGTCATTTTTACTAAATAATTCAGTCTGCTAAATAATTCACGTTTGCTAAGCTCTGCGATTGGCTCAAAGTGATTATGCATCTAGCCAATGAGAACGAAAGGTTTGTTTAGTCAGCCAATCATGTGCAAAACCGCGACCAACCTCAACCAACCGTGAAATGGTTCTCAACTTTTCCCGCGCTTTCCTGCACCGGTTGTAAGGTTTTACTGCGAGCTCTGATTGGCTAACCACAGTATCGCGGTTGCGCGCGTTTGGACTAAACTAATAAACACGACCTGTCATTTTATATGTTACCTTCCACATCTGTTTAGATATCGGAATACAACATCTCCTATTTTGATTTTTCTGCCGCCTTCCCATTTGTCCTATTCAGGAAAAAGGAAAATTTCAAAACATCAGACGTTCGTGTATTGCTGTCATAAAGAGCTCTGTAATTACGCAATGAGGTGCATGGTGATTTCCGTGCCGTTTTTTCACGTCGGGCGATATTTTATGAGCCTCTAAACAAGAGAACTGACGTAACTTAAATGAGTAAAAGTGAAAAATTTATTAGAGTATTTCCCTTTATGACTTATGGCACGAAATATTGTTTTCACAGGTAATGAACAACGAGAGCCTGAGAAATTATATGAAATCTTATATAATGTCCTAGAACGCGAGAAACAATGTGGCCAAAACATTGTTAAAAGCTTGCAAGTGTTTTCTTTAAGCGCAATTTGCTGAGCAAGAAAAGTTCTTCTAAGTTCAGCGTGACACACGCTATTTCTGCAACCGAATATTACATGCGCGCGCAACACGGAAAAGAGGGGAACAATAATGCTTCTCTGTTTATGGGGGCTCAAGAGCTGCACAATACCCCGCACTTGCCGTTTCAGAACACGCGTTTCAGACAATATTTGATGCACTACATGGAATTCAAACCATATTTAACAAAAAACAACCTCTAAAGTCAGAAAACATTGTTTGCCAAACTGACCTCTTCAAATGCGCTGAGGCCAGCAACCACAATATTCGGACGAAATCTTTCCATTTCCATTGGCAAGGGCAGCTCTTTATTTAGTATCGCTAAAGAATCTTCAGCGAGAATCATGTAAGGAGCAAAATCTCCAAATGTTACCTGTTAAATTAAAAGAGAACAAAAACAAGCAATGACTTTTTGCCTCATGCGTACGGATGTCGTTTGTCCGAAAACCGTGCTCATCCATGGGTACTCTAAACTCCCATACGATCTCATCGAATTTGGACGTGCACAAATTTTTTAAAAGATACTATGGAATGCAGAATGCATTAATTGCGGTTGCTATTGTTAGTTCTTAAACTGGACGCTTATCATTCTGTTAAATTTTAACGGACACATGAAATAAGTATGAAATAGGTTCTTCAATAAAAAGGAACGTTTGTTCCAGCTAATAGTGGTCGTATTGACGAAGGCCTCTAGGGGGTTCGGGGCAACAAAGGAACATGTTCGTGTAATTCAAGGGAATCAGAGATATTTTTGGGATCATTGTGAGGGAAAAAGGACTGAATATCTCTACTTTAACGGGAACTTTAGTAAAAGGCTAGGGGACCAGGAATAGATTAATGGGGAGAAAGGGGAAAATACAGGGTGAAAATGTATCCCCGTGGGAGGGCTTTCTTGACGAAATAGCCATACGGTTTCCAAGCCCTCCGTATGTATGTTGCTTAAAATATGTCACCTTATCTCCTGCCTCGCCAATATCACTCCATTCATCGTGTTCTCGAATTACTCGAGGTCTAGACAGCTTGTACATTTTAAAACCTGGTTTATTCATGTATTTCGAGAACCACTCTGCGGCCTCGTCTCCAACATACTGACCCTCTCCCTCCATTCCAAAGATCCTGTTCAAAATAGAATTCGGTATTCAATTCATAACTGAACGATTTAAATACTGGACATTTACTGAAAAAAATACTTAACCCTGCTTTCTACAGTATGCATAAATAACCGCCCGGCAGTAAGGACATGCTATAGTAGTATGACTAGTATAACACAGAGCCCTTATGTTGAGAAACAGAGAAACTAGTCCAATTCTAGATCTAGATCTAGCCGTCCTGCGTAGAAAGCGTTCCCAATAGAAGAGCTTTCACCAAAGCGAGATTCAGAATACCCTCCTTGTCGATTTTCATGATTTCGGTCCAATTTGCGCACGGCCAGGGTGCGGAAAAAGCTCTTTGCACGGGAACGATTGCTATGCAGGCTAGCTCTAACCGAACAACCAAGTTGTCGACCTTTTGTGTGACAAATCCAGACTTGCAATCTCAGACACTTTAAATCCGGAAAATTAAGACCCATCGATCACTTATCCTACTTCAATCAGGGTTGAAAACTGAAAACTGCATTTTGATTTTGGTGCGAATTCACCTTTTCTCTTTTAAAGGAGGTAAGGTCACGGAGGTACTTGTTTGTCCAATTTTACTCCGCTCTCTTCGGTCCGGTGTTTGTATCTTTAGTTGGGACGGGGAGACGTACGTAGGTAGATTACATTTTGCCAAACACAGCTAGTAATCGAGCCTAAATCAGACGGAATCGACTTTTTTTTAAAATAATATTCGCCTTGCAAAATAATATTTTAGAAGTTAAACATTTGTTACAAACTATTTTATACATACGGTCCAATTTTGTCCATGGAGCAAAAACCATTTTTGCCCCTTTGAACTCACGANAGCGAGATTCAGAATACCCTCCTTGTCGATTTTCATGATTTCGGTCCAATTTGCGCACGGCCAGGGTGCGGAAAAAGCTCTTTGCACGGGAACGATTGCTATGCAGGCTAGCTCTAACCGAACAACCAAGTTGTCGACCTTTTGTGTGACAAATCCAGACTTGCAATCTCAGACACTTTAAATCCGGAAAATTAAGACCCATCGATCACTTATCCTACTTCAATCAGGGTTGAAAACTGAAAACTGCATTTTGGTTTTGGTGCGAATTCACCTTTTCCCTTTTAAAGGAGGTAAGGTCACGGAAGTACTTGTTTGCCCAATTTTACTCCGCTCTCTTCGGTCCGGTGTTTGTATCTTTAGTTGGGACGGGGAGACGTGGGAGACGTACGTGGGTAGATTACATTTTGCCAAACACAGCTAGTAATCGAGCCTAAACCAGACGGAATCGACTTTTTCAAAAATAATATTCGCTTTGCAAAATAATATTTTAGAAGTTAAACATTTGTTACAAACTATTTTATACATACGGTCCAATTTTGTCCATGGAGCAAAAACCATTTTTGCCCCTTTGAACTCACGACCACAGGACCTTTCATCACCCAAAATTGCTGGCTGTACCTGATTGTTACACTGATAATTTATTGACTCACTTGATCCTTTTGTATTCTCTTTGATCAGCTCTTAGTTGTATGTTCAGCTTCAACGTCTCCATTCCAGGTGCATCAAGGCAAAGATATTTGCCATCCTCAAAACGTGGAACCACCAGAGCAAGCTTTGGGTCTTTACGCTGGGTAATAAAGTTACCCTTCTCATCCAGAACAATCCAGTGCCTTAATTTGAAGAAAACAACAACAACAACAAAATTAATAGATCAACCTGAACGCACGCGCAAAATAATGTGGCAATCCTGGTCAAAAGTCTTAGGACACTTTGCACTTTTGTCAACATATGGTCTTTCTGTCCACCTCCCCCTCTCCACCACCAAAACAGTGTTGATGTCGATTCATCCAAAGTAGACCCACTATTCCAGCATTGCTTTATGGGGTGAGGGGGGCTCGGAAAATTAAATAATGACTTCCCACTTTAAAATAATGCGTCACCAGTTTTGACCAGGATTGTAGTTCTCAGATCTCTAGAAACAAGCTCGCCGGTATTCTATCATATAATTCCCTAATAATCAGTTAACGAAATACAGTCGAACCCCCACTAATGGCCATCTCCACAACGGTCATCTTCACATTTACGGCCACCTCTCTGCAACGGTTAACTCTCTACATCAGCCACCTCTCTTCAACGACCACTTTATTTTGACCCGGCGGATTTAACCACTCTGTAATAACCACCTCTCCGCAACGACAACGACCAGTAAAGAGCGTCCCAACAGCCAAAATAGCCTCTCGACAGCGGGCAGTTAATCAATGACTTACGAAAGGTGCATTCAAAACCCCATTTTTATTGTGAAAGGTCACGAAACTTGGATCCATATCGCGCGTGACGTGGTCTCTGTTTCTGTTTGTCTTTTAGTTTATTGACATGTTTATTGACTTCGGGTGTACCACAAGGATCAGTACTAGGCCCGCTGTTGTTCCTAACATACATTAACGACTTGCCAAATGGTCTAACCTCTACAGTAAAGCTGTTTGCCGATGACACCCTTTTGTACGGAGTGGTGGTTGAAGACTCAGATTGCGAAAATCTCCAAGACGACCTCAAT